GATTCCCGCTGTATGAAGAAATTAAAGAACGGCGCAAGTGGAGACAATTCACAAAGGGATTAAACTGTTTAAAACACATACTCAAAGTAAGCCGGATTTTGCCGATGTGTTTTTGTGGATTCAAAAGTCGTAAATAATCTACAAAATGGAGGAGACAGATCTGATCGGAGCAACTGTGACAAATAATCCAACTGAAACCGGCATCGACAATGACTATGTTTTAAAAATGCGCTTATCCAGAAAAGCCTGGTTTGGACACTTTACGGGCAGAAGAAACATTTCTATTAAAGAAATAATTATACATTTCTGTCTTTTTATGCCCTTATTAGCTACTAACTTGACATTTTATAAAAAATAATTAATCAATTATTTTTTATATTTGATTGTAATGTAGAGACAAGGCCTTTAGCAACAATCATGCATTGCCTTACAATTATATGTAAAAAAAAAAATTAAAAAAAAGTCTAAATATGATATTTGGCCTCAAATCATCTGAGGCCTGGCGCCCCACCTGTGATCTTTGGCGCCCCCCAGGTTGGGAACCACTGCTTTAGGGGCTCCGTAAGGAGGATATTCAGGTGATAAGGTGGGCGGGTGTTACCTTGGTTGGTTATTGACTAATGGTTGTTGTGTAATTGTGACTTCACAAAGTGGCACAAATGCGATCAGCTCATTTACAGACAGGTTTTTATATAAATGGATCAGGACAAAAGAGAGAGAGAACATAGTGTGTTTTTGGCTGTCAATGACAAATAAATACAGCAGCTGTGAAAGTGAATAGATCCAAGTAAATCTTACTTTTTATTAAGTTCAATACTATCCATTCATTGAACATGGGTAAGGAAGGGGCAATACATATTTTGATATAATATATAATAATAATAATACAATATGAGGTAAACACTCATAACAGTCAGTAAAAAACATTTTTGAACAGAAAATGTCTTACAAAATAAATGCAATGAGCACAAAGAGGACACACAAAGCTCAGGTTAATCTAACTTCTTCATTGATGACAGCGAGTTTCACAAACCCTTAAGTTCTGGTGGGTCAAAAGACATGTGCATACGGTGCATGTACACATACCGGATGTCAGATAGCACATCAGATATATGCAAACATTTTGGTGCTGCAGTTCCCACAGACTTCATAAACTCATACACAACAACACATGTCCAGCAGGACAGGCTGCTGTAGCACATGCAGAAGACACTTGTACAAACTTACACTTGTAAGACAGAAGACACTTGTACAAACAGACAAGGCAGCGACAAAACAGTATCGTGGTTAACTCAGAAAACACAAAAGGTACAAACAAAAATCCCACTCATGCTTAAAAGTAGTTGCAGTCTTGCATGCTGTCGTGTACAAGTGTCAGACATTTTGTTGAGAGAAGCACATTTTTGGCCTTTAGCAGTTCTTTCTCATCATGTTAAGGCAGTTAGGGCAGGGGAGGTCATGTTTATTTTTTTTTTAAAGGTGTTTAAAATTCAAAGGGACTGCCAAGGCACACANGCGTTACTGTAATAATATTACTTTTGTCGGTAACGGAGAAGTGTAACGCGGTCGGGGCAATGTTAGTGACTGTAGTGTGATTACTGAATTATAAAAGTAACGCGTTACACTTCTCCGTTACCGACAAAAGTAATATTATTACAGTAACGCGTTACACCTAACTCTGCTTATATTTATATAAATTGCATATTTTTTAGCAATACTATGTTTAAATAAATATAGCATTTGATCTGTTTACTGCAGATCATTCATTTAACTTCTTTTGGTAAGCACATATTTTAATTCTAATCGATTTAATGTTTTATATTGCACATGTTTACATTAATTCCTTATACATTTTTTATTTTTATACTTTGTGTATTTTAATTGTGTTTTATCCTGTCACGGAGCTAATCGAATCCCAGTTTCCTCCTGTAATAAACACAGTATTCTGATAAGTGAGGGAGGGGAGAGGGCGTGTGTGTGTGTGTGTGTGTGTGTGTGAGAGAGAGAGAGAGAGAGAGAGAGAGAGAGAGAGAGAGAGGAGGGAGGAGGTGCTGCATCACCGGCTCACACACTCACACACACACACACACACACACACACACACTCTCACACACACAGCAGCAGCACCGTTCAGGATCCATTGTTCCAGTTTTTTTTGTTACTCCGGACGCATCTCTCTCCCATCAGGATCCGGAGAAAGAGACCCGGAGGAGGAGAGCCGGACCTGGGATTACTTCTTCTTCTTCTTCTTCTTCTTCTTCTTCTTCTTCTTCTTCTTCTTCTTCTTCTTCTTCTTCTTCTTCTCCTCCTCTGTGTCTCTCTGTCCCACGGACAGACTGAGCTCTGCTTCAGGTTGAACAGCAGCTAGGACTCCTGTTGGATAGAAAATCATCCTGACTGTGTTTCTCCCTCCAGGCTGGACCATGGTGGAGAGCAGAGGTTGAAACCAGGTCTGAGGAAGTGTAAGTG